GCACACCAGTTGGTGCCTTCTTTCCCCTTCTTTAGAGACTCATTCCTCTGCCTGCTCCTTCAGCAAGGTTTGACTTCAGCCTACACTGTCCTGTGACTGCTTTGTGCCCCTGGCTACATTCAGGCTAGCAACACCTTATACAGCCAAGAGGCAAATCCTCCCTCCAAAACACACCCATCTCCTCTGCTGAGCCAACAGAGCCCTTCATTTGTGCATGTAATCCAACCTTTGTGCCATTATATAAAGCTGTCCCCAGTGTTCATCCCTATTTCCTATCACCTGCAAATCCCTGCCTGTCTGGTAACAACCCTACACAGACACCTCCTCTCATGCTGTGCCCTGCTCCCAAACCACCTTCCTCAGGACAGGGCACCCTCCTCAGACCAAGACCCCCAAAACATGTTGACCTGGCTGTTTATTGGGCTTGACTCTCTTCTACATGAGTTTCTACAGGTTATCAGGGCATCCTGCAGCTGCATCTCGGATAGCAAATGGCTTTGCTTTTTGTTGAAAGTGCTTTCATGTTGAGTACTGAAAAAGCCAAATCATTAGCAGACTAATTAGGCACCCTGTTGCACACAGCATTACAGCTGAAGCTGAGATCTTGAAAGTTTGCTGACAGTGGATCCTGGGCTTCTTACTTAAAGCCTGAGGTGAAACGTGCAAGAATCAAACTGGACCAGCAATTCCTCTATCTTTTATGGCCAAAATTACATGTTTAAGAAAACACAAGGATCTCTGCAGCACCTTGGTGTGGCAAAATGCACCCAGTCTCTATCAGTTCAAGAACTGCTGAAGCACAGCAAAATGTATTACATATTCTTTCCAAGTCTGTTATGAATTATAGTAACTCCTATATTCTTGATAACTGCCTAAAGTCTCAGTTCCTTCCTGGATCTTATTAGGTTTTTGGCCTCAAATAATCCTCCAGCAACAACGTGTACAATTTAACTGATGTTGGAAAAAACATCATTTCCATGTATCAGTTTTAAATTTCACTGAACCTCCCTTGTTTCCATTCAAAACACTTCTCTGTGAATGTCCTTGTACTTCTTGTAACTTTGGATAACAAAGTGAGTACTTCCCACTCATGGGCTGAATCAAGTAGGTGGTTGTTTCAGACCACTACAATCCTTCTCAGAGATCACTGCTTGCCAAACGGTACACGTACACTTGCAATTTTTCCTGCTGACACTGCAGCCACCCAATCTTCAGAAGAGGAACACAGCAAATATTTAACAGCAGCAGGTGTCAGATAGGGGTTGATCACAGTAAAGAGAAAACACACTGGACAGCTGAAATGATAGCAGATAAGTGTGCATGGGTCACACTTCTCCTAAATGCTCCAAGAAGAGATTGGAATATGTTGACTATACTTAGGTGTTTGTAAACAGTCTCTATTCTCACACCTTGCCCGAAAGCAAAACTCCCACCAGAGCCTTTCGAGTGATCAACATTTCCCCTGGTGCTTGATCTGGCATCCTGCCATGAACTCACCAACAATTTCAAAAAACAAATGGGAAGTTAATTGCATTTTCAGGCATTTTAGACAGCAAAAGGCAAAAGTCTTGAAGGGAGATCATTGTGAAACAGAGCAGAAGCAGCAGTGCTCACCCTTTAATCCAGCAGCTCCAGGGCTTGCACGGTCCCCTGAAATACAGAACATCTTGTTTTCTACTTCACTGCATGGATTTAAACCATCACCTGCCTTCTCCTGGAGAGAGGCCTGGCTCCCTGGGCTACAGGAAACCTGAGACGGATCCCTCCTTTTAAAACTGGACCAGAAAGGCAGGGAACTTCAGAGCAAACACACAGGGTGTGCAGCCCAGCACAGGAACTCCCACTTCCTCCCACTAGAAGCATCAGAATGAATCAATGCCAATGCTCCGGATGGAAAACACACTTCTCTTATGTTAATTCAACTAAATCCAGCCCAAATGCATAGAATTTTTGCATTGGCCAGAACCATATCCTCATCAACTAAACCGGTAAAAACCAGGCAGGCCCCAAGCAAGCTGCCCCCTGTGTCAGTGAGGAGCAGGGCTAACATGGCATTGCTTCCAACCAACACCTTTCTCACTGCTGAATTTGCTGGGGCCTTGGGAAATCCGAAGCTACATTGCTGTTCATTGTGCCTCCCCTAAATATGGATTCTCCTGCAGGAGAAGAGCATCGATGCACTGCCCGGGAGCTGTGCACCCAACAAGGCAGATGCAAGTGAATTCTCATCCCCAGCTGCTGCTGCTTTCCCTTAGAAGTGGATCTTGGCAAGTCCCAGAAAGCATGAGGGAGAGTCTGGGGTTTGCTCTAGTATTCCTGCTTGCATGAAGTGGCTGCTAAAAGTGAAAGAGGAGCTTTCCTGCTGCAGCCCCTGGAATGAGCTCTGCAGCCCAGAGCAAGATGATATGGCACCACCAGGGACCTGCAGATAGCAGCTCCCATGCAAGATCATAAAATCATAGAATATCCTGAGTAGGAAGGGACCCACAAGGATCAGTCACTGAGTCCAGCTCATGGCCTTGCACAGGACAGCCCCAGGAATCCCACCACGTGCATGAAAGTGTTGTCTGAGCTCTTCTTGAACTTTGTTAGGCTTGGTGCTGTGACCACTTCCCTGGGGAGCCTGTTCCAGTGCCTGACCACCCTCTGGGTGAAGAAACTTCCTAATAGTTCCAACCTAAACCTTCCAACACAGCTTCATGCCACAGGAACGCATCTCTACATCACCTGGAACAACTTTGATCCCTATGGACAGATGTGATGTGCTCCCAGAGATGCCTTGGGACACATCCAAACTTACCAGGCAGATAAATCCATGGTGTTCTATCTCAAGATCAGAAAACTGACCTCCTCCTCCTCTTCCTCTATACCTGTTTTATCTTTTCATCTGATCAATATACAATTATTTTGGGTCAGCAACTCACAAAATCTCCTTTGCTGGAGATTCTTAGACAGGTTACATCATGCAGAGACAGCACAAAGTTCATCCTTCATTTCAGAAAGCCTGCCCTCATCTCAAAAATACATTTCATGGCATCTTTCAGGCTTATTTCAGTGGAAATCTCAGGATCTCATAGGAATTATTAGACCACCATTGGTTCTTTCTTGCAATTAGTATTCTCACAGGTGTAGTGATGTATAAAAATTGGTTTAGACTATTTCTTCCCAAGTTACACCTCCAGGATCCATTCACTGGATTTCACTGAAGTTTGGGTTGTGCAATATGAAACATCAGCATCACTGGACATACCCCCATCAGGTCCCTCAGGAATGACACCCTACAGGTTCCTGCTGACCTGCAGCAGTGCAGGAGAGTCCACGTTACCACCTTCCCAAAAACAGACTAGCAGAGCAGGGATCCCTCCATCAAGCACCTTGGAGGCACCCAGCAGAGCTCATACATCATAGGTTTTGGCCTACAGGCAGAGAAATAGGAAATTAAATCTCTCCTGGTCTGTGTTCCCTAAAGCAGAAACTGAGCCAAGGCTTCAAATTATATCCATCAGTGTAGATCTATTGATTCAAAAGGGATGACTCAACTTCCAAGAAGTCTCTTGCTCAAGGTCATGGGCTGTAGCAAAGAAGAGCTCTGAGCATAGGTTTTCTTACATGAAAATACACCTTCAGCCACTCTCCATCCCTTTTTTTGGTGTGCATTTTTTTTGTAAGTTTACTTTCCTTAAAATACATTAAACTAAAATGGAAATCCTTGGCTGTCCTGTCAGACTTTGGATGCATAAGTGTCTGTCCAGGCCTTCAGGTTTTTAATTTCTAATTACAAAACACTCCACAGTATAGCTCATGAGACAGAAAAAAGGGCCCCATCAAAAGCCTTACACTTACTATAACAGAACTTGAGGAGTCTGGAGAGTAAATGGGAGAGGAATTGCTGGAGAAGGAAGGAACAGGCAGAAAAATCCAAGCTGGATTTTTCTGCAGAAAATCTCGATCTTGCACACCCAAGGGAACCATCAGGTTTGAAAGAGTTAGAAGCTGTTTTGCTGTGCTAGAAAAAGTCTACTGAAAACAGAAAGGCCATCTTATTCTGGAAGTTGTGTCTCCTGGGGAGCATGGGGAGCAGGGAGGTCCATCAGGAGACTGAGGAAAGATAGACAAGGGACACAGGATGGGCAGGCAAACAAAGCAAAAGCAGACCACAAATGCCTCCTTGGCCTGATGGCCAGTTTCCATTAATAAATACATTACAAAAGGAAACCTTTCATGTGGGAAGACAAAATCCAGCTGATCTCCATTCTAATAGGGCACAACTTATCCCTAGCAGAAGAAAAAAAATATCAAAGAAAAAGATTAAAGGAAGCAATTTTCAAATTTAAACACAGTCTTACCATGATGGAAAGGAATAATAAGAACAGCTGAAAGACACTCAGGGTCACGTCAGGGAGAGATGCCTTGGTTGAAGGTACTGCAGTGTTTTCCATATTTGTCTGCTTTATTTTTAAACACCCAGAGCCTTTGCTTGATCAACACTTCCTTGAAAAAGAAGGAAGCAGAGGAGGAATGAGGGGCTGTAGGGAGAGATGCAAATTAGGTTGGAAAATAATGATCTTCCCAGCCATGAAAGTCAAAATTCCTCCTTGAAACCAAATCCTCCTGGAGTGCTATCCATGGCACGGGGGGAAAGGGGAGGGAAGAAAAGAAAGAAGATTTATTACTTAAGCAGAACTGAAATTCTGTTGAGAAAAAGAACTATTCAGTCCATACATGAATGTCAACAGTAGATCTGAAACTGGGCTTGCCGTATTTGCACACATAAAAAAAAAAGACAGGGGAGATGGTTCGAGTTTTTTAAGAGGGAGAAAAAAGCCACCGAAGTTCCTTGATCTTATGAAGCCCTGAACTCTTATATTCCATTTATAGCTCGAGCTGGAATGACATCCCCCTTGATTATCAAGCTGTCCAATCCAGCTGCATGTGTCAGGACTCTGTGAGGCACTAAGTGAAATATATATATGCCCTTAGAGAGTTTAACACATCGGGTCCACCTCTAGGGCACAGGCTGTAGCTCATTCTGACCACTGCTCCTTTCCCAGGATCACTTTTAAGAGGGTTTTTTTGCTTGTTTGGGGGGGGTTGCTGTTGTTTGGGTTTTTTTTTTTTTTAAGATTTTTTTTTTTTAGAGCACCTTTACTTTCCAATTTAAACACCACAAAATGGCACCTAAGAAGGACGTAAAGAAACCAGCCGCAGCAGCGGCGCCTGCGCCGGCACCAGCACCAGCACCCGAGCCAGCCAAACCCAAAGAACCCGCCATCGACCTCAAGAGCATCAAGGTAAAAGGACGGGCGTGTGCTGACTGCGGACACGAGGGGCTCCCCAAGGGGAGAGTCCGCAGAGTCGCGGCTGAGGGACGCAGGGAAGCGTTGCGTGGGTTCGGTTCCGCTTTGGGGACTGCGGTGAAATGAATGAGTAACCTCAGCCAGTGCATTTGCTGACCTGCCTGAGCTTTTAACTGGTTTAGTAGCTGTAGGGGTGTAAGGCATGGCGCATGATTTAACACAGGAGTGACGCCTGGGGATGTTAAAAGTATGTTGGAGTGTGGACCTCAGAACATTTTACCAAATCAGCAGTCTGACCTGTTTGGTGAAGCTACATTTTTCTTTTGAAAAACACCACAAAAAAAAACTCCCCAAGCCCCCTAAATTAGGTGCACAAGGACAGGAAAAGGGTTACTGAAACTTGAAATGCAATGTTTTCCCATAGCACTGTGCTAAAACCAAGTTTTATTTTACAGTTTACCCTCAAATTCCTTTCAAATTTTTGAACCGCCTGATGACACTGGTCATGTGCTTTGAGATCAGTATGACTTATCTTTAAAAGAAGAAACAAAACAGATGAAAACAGAGGGTTTTGGCAGTTTCACCTATTTTCTTTTCATTCACATTGTACAACAAACACTGACAGAGACCATGAGCCAGAAAGACATGGATGGGAGCATTTCAAGTGATTTCCTCTCACTTTTACATTTGCTTACAATTTGCTGCAAAAGGAAAGCATCAAAGAGGAAGAGTCTTTTGGAGGTTTCCCTCTGACTGCACTGTCATTTGTTCTCATGATGTTTTTAGACTTTGCATGTCAACCAACATTACTGACTGTTGCCTTGACCCTTCAAAGAAAACTCCTCCATTTTGGGAAATTCTTTACTTAGGAAAGAAGAGAGGGAGGTTAAGCAGTTAAAGAGAAGAGATAGACTAGTTTCTCTGGGTAGGACTATAAATAGTCATTCTCCACCTACCTGACAAGCTGATTGGTCCCAGGACCAATTTGCTAAGTTCTACATAAGAAATCCTGCCTATTATGGATAAAAGAAGGAGAACAAGGACTCCTAAGAGGACCTACTCATTTTCATCTCATGATGAATTATCTTTCAGATACCTTAATTCATATAATCCCATGATCATAACCAATTTAATGAAATTTCTTCAAGTTTACTGTAATTTATCCAGTCAGGAATCAGTATTTTTCTGAAAGGGTATGTAGCTTCTCATAAAATTGAAGCTAAAGCCATTGGCAAAGCATAACAATAACAAAAGTTATTAAAAAAAGGCATTTTTAAATACTTTGAGTGATCACGGTATAGGGTACACAAAAATCCCACTGGTTTTCAGAATACTGCCTAAAAATTAGATTAGGCCTCACAACACACTCATCTCCAGAAATGGAGGGAAACACAAGCTAGATTTCCTGCTAAATAATTTAATATGATTGGATAGCTTTATATGTCCAGTTCATTAGGAGAAAATAGAATTTTTAACTACAGTGAACCTAGCTAGTCTATCTTTACATAAATAGACTGAATAATATATTACCAGCTAAAAAATGGCACACTGCACTCTGAGGCATCTGCACTTCACTCCTTTACCCAGACAGCTCTCTGTAACAGCAGGACATATATACTGCTAGAACAGAGAGAACTCTACAGGTTTTGTCATATTCAGACTGATAAAAGAAGATACTCTCCTTAAATTCTTTCTTTTGAAAGATAATATCAGACAAAGTATTTTCTTCTAGGGTCCCAACCAGCCACCCTGGGTTATCCCTTTTCACCCTTTGAGAGTTCATGCAGTGAAGGGAAACAAAGTTGTGTGGAAAGTGATCTGCCTGGGCAATTTGTGGCAAAGTCAGGCATCTTAGTTTTCTGAGTCTTAGCCCAGCCCCTTAATTAATCCTGAATCCTTCCATTCAGCCACCAAAGTCTCAGCACAAGAAAAGGTGTGGCACCATTTCCAGCAAAACTTTGGAGCCAGAGAGTACTTAAAGCTAAGCTTTTGACTGGGACTCTAAACAGTTCAAGGCCACGTTGGATGGGGCTCTGAGCAACCTGGTCTAGTAGAAGGTGTCCCTGTCCATGGCAGAGGGTTGGAACTGGATGATCTTCAAGGTCCCTTCCAACACAAACCATTCTGTAATTCTGTTATCTGGAGCTCTTTGCACTGATTTACCAGACACAGAGACAAAACCACCAGCACTTTGAACCAGGGCATCAAGTGGGCTCCCCTGCACTCCTCAGGGAATTAGCAGCTATTCATGAGAGGTGACTGGGAATGCCAAGGTGCAGCATCATGATGATCTGGAAAGCCACACAGCAGGCTTTGTTAGCTTTTATAAAAAGATATCCGAGCCCATTCTAAGTGTTATAGCTGGAGTGGGTAAGGATAGAGCTGCCTAACAAGGGCTTACAGCAGCCAAATAAACCACATTTGGCAGTGCACTCCATTTTAAGTTAGCATCAGAAATCATAATAGTCTCCAAAACAAACAAGAAGGTGGTTTACAAACATGAGCAGTGATTCTTTTGGTGGTACCTCTCAGCTTGGATGCTCTGCTTGGCCCATCTGGTTTTCTGACCCTTTTGGTGTGCACAGTTTGAAACTCCAGATATTTTTTTCCTTTCTTAAGAGGACTCAGGCTGGGTTCTTGCAAATGCAGGCACCTCAAAACTGTCTGTCACCATCAGAAGTTGTGACAGACCACTCACTCTCTTCTGTTCTTTATCCCACTCTTGAAATTAACCCAATTAGAGCAAATATCTGGTGATTTGCTAGTGCTAATAGCAGCTGTCATGAGATTTTCTGTTTTTGAGCACCATCTATTGACTACAGAACTGAGTAACAGGAATACCTCACTGCTAAAAGCTCAAATCTCTAAACTGAGCCCTTTCATAGCTCACCTTAGGTTGTAGTGCAACCAACACAGGAAGAGAGTCAAGCCAGGGAGGAAGACTTTGTTTTAAAACAGAAACATGAAAACCTCTTTCCCTCTTACTCAGGAAAAAAAAAAATCATTAAAACCTCAATCTGTTTTGCACAAGCCTTTCCAGTCCAAATTTATATTTCCAGTTTTCTTTTTTACTAACATGGCCAGGATTTGCATTAGGCATAGGAGTTAAATAATAACTGAGAAAAGAATAGGGTGATGGATGCAGCTGAGAGCTACCACTGCAACCAATGATGATTAACAGCAAGTATGGTCCAGCGCACTCCCCAAAAGTTATATGTTTTGTCACTCCCTCATATGTTTTGTCAACTTCCTTCTCTCACACAAGCCTGGGTGAGAAGAAATGCTGAGTTGATGAACAGCACTACTATGGGTCTATGTCTGCAGCAACTTGATAAGACATTAATGATGTAGAGGTCTTATGCTTGGTTTTGCAACTGAGGCAGCGGGGAATGGATAAATTTCCTATTGCCCAAATCAATATAACTTGGTCCCTATCACAAACAGGAAAAACATGTTGTTTTTTACTGAAATCTGTGGGCCTTTCCTAGCACACACAGCCAGCCCTCGGAGTGAGACCAGGCTCACAGCATCAGCTGTGGCATTTTGGGACCCATGGGCAGGAAACGCTGGGTGCAGTGCTTTATAGGTACCTGCTCTGTTCAGATCGTGACCTGAACGTGTAGTACCCTCATCTGGTGTCACACTAGACCCTTCACTTCAAGGATACATCCGAGTATCCTCCCTCAAGTAGAGACAGAGATTGGGTTCTTGCAAGTATCCATGGTGTAAGTAAGGTTCATTTGGTACACAAGGCTTACCATATTGGTATTTTCAGACTGAAATCCCAGGACACCAATTATGCCATGCCAAACTGTAGATAAGCCACCTAAGTGTTTAGAAAAAAAAAAAAAATAACAAAAAGCTATCAACTAGTAAAGACTTTCTAAAGTCTTGTGTAACTGTGTGATGCATGATGATTCCTTTTGCATGGAAGCAAGCCTGTGATTGCTTGTTTTTAAATACAGAGCTCTTAAGGCAGTAACTCCAAGTATTTCTCCAAGTATCCTTATTTCTTGTTACATTCACTATTCCAGTAGGTCATCTCTGAACAGACACTCTGTTGGACATAACCAGAGAGAGAGAAATTCAGTAAAATGCACTGACAGAAAGCTCCTGGGCTGGAGGGTGAGCAGGACTGCAAATGTCAGCTAAAGAGCTCTGAGAGCTGTCATGCTGCAGACCAACTCCACGGAAAGCTGTGGAGGGAGAGCAGGAATGGGAACAGTAGCTTTGCTCAGAGCAATAAGGGCTTTCTTAGGAACCAGGAGGGTTTCACTTGAAACTTTTGGCTGAGGTCTTCAGATTATGCCTGATCTAACTCCAGCTATGGCTCCGGAAACATTCCCTAGGATGGATATTCTTGTTGGACAAGGTCATCAGTCCCAGGTGCACTTACAGGTAGGACGGGGACAGGGGTCAGTATGATTTTAGCCTTAAGAGATGTAAACATGCCTGTCTGATGCCATCCCGACCAGCTTCCTGCTCCTGCTTTGATCCCTGAGACACAGCACCAGTCAGGATCCAGCCCAGAGCAGCCCAAACTCAATCCCTTGCTCCATCAGTCTCACCACTGATGCCAGACCCATGTTGCTGACAATCACTGGATGGGCAAGGCATGGCACAAAGGTGCCTGAAGACAGGCAACCTGGACAACAGACTCTTGCTGTACATCAAGACATCCCTTTGGGACACTGTTGGAAACAACAAACAGAAACCACCGCTTAGTTTTCTTTACAACACTTTCGGAAGAACTTTGCCTCCTTTTTCCCTAAAGTGCTGCTAAGTAAGGAGTCCCTCAAAAGTAGGGACTGTCCATACATATTAGTAGACACTTTTCCTTATGTCTGCTAACCTGAAGAGTTATTTGGAAAACACTGTTGTTTTTTTTAACAAGATCCATTCTTAGTAATTCACAGCTTTGGCAGCTATAGATACCTGTAGCCTTTGGAGAGCCTGGGAAATGGCAAGCATTGGTAGAAACAGTGGAATTTAAA